TGACCCTCCGACAGCGAGGCGCTCCCTCAGCGCTGACCCTCCGACAGTGCAGCAAGGCCTGTCAGTCCCTAATATGTCTCTCCAAAGCGGTTGAAACCCTAACGTGTGAATTGCAGATGAGTGCGATCCCTCACTGAGTGTCAATCGATCCAGTGGATCGGTGATCTGTTGCAGGCTGCTTGCCAGGCAGCAGCTGCCCTGTCTTTTATTGCAGCAATGACCATTCGCGGGATTGGATCCTCAGAGATTAGCATCGCCAGAGGCTCACCTTCATAATCCAGGTCGTTCATCAAAGCCTTCATCCAGTTCTGCCAGTACACGTCGTCCTGTGTGCCCTGGTCGTACATATCTGCTGTGATGTCTGGTGCCTTCAACTCGGCCTCCAGCAGCCCCAGGGACACGTTGTTGAGAGGCCACTTGGACCGAGTACGGTAGGCAATCAGGCGGTCATTGAGGGACTGGCGACAGAGCAACAGCAGGGGCACCGTTAGCTGTGTTACCTCCCAAACAACGAGGACACCTCACCCATAAACCACCCACCACAGCCACCCCCACCCCCAAGGCCAGAACACTGACCTGCTCGAGGAGGAGTTAGGTACAGTGCTTTGGGGAGAAATCAGGAACAGAGGGCTCACTCAGATGATCTTCTGTGATCGTACTGAACGATGCAGCAGGTTTGAAGGGCTGAACGGCCTACCCCTGCTCCTATTTTCTGCGTTACCATGGGCTTTCAGCATTTCTGCCAGACGCTAACATTGGCCATCCTACTCCAGTGTCTGAACAGGGGCTGTTTGGGTCCCCAGCCTAGAGAGAGAGGGAGAGAGAGAGAGAGAGAGAGACAGTAAAACGGAGAGAGAGAGAGACAGAGAGAGAGAGAGACAGAGAGAGAGAGAGACAGAGAGAGAGAGAGACAGTAAAACAGACAGAGAGAGAGAGAGAAACACAGAGAGAGAGAGAGAAACACAGAGAGAGAGAGAGAGAGAGAGAGAGAGAGAGAAAGAGAAAGGGAGAGAGAAAGAGAAAGGGAGAGAGAAAGAGAAAGGGAGAGAGAGAAACAGAGAGAGAGAAAATAAAGAGAGAGAAACAGAGAGAGAGACAGAGAGAGAGAGAGAGAGACAGAGAGAGAGAAAAAAAGAGAGAGAGAGAGAAAGGGCCAAAACAGTCAGCCACTGTTGGTTGACCAGCTAGCCCTGAGCAGCAGTTAATGCTCCCTCTCTATCACTGGCTGCAACTCTGTCCCTAAACTTCCGTGCCCGCTCCCCTTCCTCTTCTCTTTAACACATCACTGCTGTTGGCCATCTGCCCCTAATACCTTTGTGTGGACCTGGCTGTCAGATCCCGTCTGATACACACTCCCACGGAACGCCCCTGGGTCACTCAGCCGAGGTGGCCAGCACTGTATAAACGTAGCTGCCGCCCTCCCACCTCCGGGAGCAACAGCGCAGTCTGCATACCTGGTAGGAGTCCATGCAGACCTCATTCGAAGCCAGCTCCTCATCCACAGCGTGTAGCTTCTCCATGAAGCTGGTGTCGCGGCTCTGCCTGTGCTTGGCTTTAGGGGGTAGTGGTGGGGGGCCCATGGGAATGGTCTCCACACTGAGGTGCCTCGCAGCCACTCCGAGCCCACTGTCCCTCTCAGTAACACCGGGGAGCTGAACAAAACAAGCCAGGCCAAGACATCAGCATCCTGCAAGCAATAACCCACCCTTCCAACCATCTGTGGACACATTCGGGATTCTGGCCCAACAGCACAGGCTGGAGCAAGAGGCCACTCAGTCCAATGTGTTACTGTCACTCCCTGGGGCTCTTTCCCCAGATCCCTGCTTCACTCTGCCACAGGTCACGGCTGAATGTGTAACCTCTGCCCTGTGGGGCAGGGCATTACAGTCCCTGCCCACACGCTGCGCAGAAGGCTCTCTCCCCTCATGCCCCCTCTGGTTCCTGTGCCCGACACTCGACATCTATGCCCCTGGTGATGATGCTGTCGCTTTCAGACATTATCTTGGTCCTGGTTTTATTTTTGAAGGGAGGCTGTAAGGCTGAGGCGCTGATCTGCCTACTGAAGACCACTTGAGTAAACAGCTTGGGAGGCCTTGGGTTTTCCTTTAAATGCAGCCTGAATGGGGCGTAGCCAGCTCTCACAGGTCAGGATTGCTGGGTAGCATAAAGAAAGTATTGGGGTCTCAACAGAGTGAACGTCTCCCAGCTGCGACTCTCTGAATTTTCTCCTCGTTTTCTCCTTCTGGAGTGGAGAACTGCATGTGAGAATCGGTGTCTGAATTTTCCTTTTTCTATTGGCCAAGGGGTGTGTTTATGGGATGTGGCTAATTTGGAACAATTCATTATTAGTAGGTACTGTATCTATTATTATGGCAAGTTTTCCAATAAACTTGTAATTCTAAATTCCTCTTTCTTTGGTTGTATTTTAACTGCAGTGTTTAAATAAATTGTGTTTTGCTTAACGTTGAGTAGTTTGTATCTGGAACATGGTACTTCTCATTTACCTTTAAAACGAGAACAAGTTAGGGTCTAGGTGACCTTCTTAAAATATTTTGAGGGGAGCGTCTGGTCTGGTCCATAACAGCAACCCCCCCTCCACTCCCTGCCAGTGATCAGCCCCATAGCAACAGGTAATCCAACACTTAAAGGTCAGCTCGAAGGAGGGTGACCCCAGTATCTCCTCCTCGCTGACATCCGTGCCCCGACAGTCATGCAGATAACAAGTTCTACAATCTCATTCTGCACTCCCTCTCCCTATTTTGCCATTACTAATTCCCACGGCCACATTCGTGTGGCAACCCACTGTATAAAACACATCATATTTTTCATTAGCAAGTGACACCCCCTTGAACACAGGGTGTTATTACAGCGAGATATGGTCATATGCACAGTTCCTATTACAACACAGAGAGGGGGAGGGATTTATATTGAAAACACCAGGCCAAAACGTACATGGGGAGCTTACTTAACCTGTAGCCATTCAATTTAACTTCAATACTCCGATTCCACTTCCATCTGAAACTGTAATGTTGCAATGATGTAAACTTCCAAACCAGGCTGAAACAAACAGCAATACCACTTTCTGAAATAATCACCTTCCTGAGATACACTCATCGAGGTCTACAGCATGGAAACAGGCCCTTCAGCCCAACTTATCCATGCCACCCAGTTTTCTCAATTAATCTAGTCCCATTTGCCCTCCGTACCTATCCCATCCACGTCCCTGTCTAAATGTTACTTAAAATGACAAAACTATACTCGCTTCCACCACTACCTCTGGCAGCCTGTTCCAGACACTCACCACCCTCTGTGTGAATAAAACTGCCCCCCCGGACCCTGTTGTATCTCTGCCCTCTCACCTTAAACCTATGGCCTCTAGTTTTAGACTCCCCTACCCTGGGGAAAAGCTGTCGGCTATCTACCTTAGACAACAAGGTGCAGAGCTGGATGAACACAGCAGGCCAAGATGCTGCTTGGCCTGCTGTGTTCATCTAGCTCTGCACCTTGTTGTCTCGGATTCTCCAGCATCTGCAGTTCCTACTATGTCGGCTACCTACCTTATCTGTGCCTCTCATGATTTTGTAGACCTCTGTAAGGTCACACCTCAGTATTCTGTGCTCCAGGGATAAAAGTCTCAGCCTATCCAACGTCTCCATATAACTCAAGTCTTCCAGCCAGGTAACCTCCCAGTAAATCTTGTGTGCTGTCTTTCTAGTTTAATGTCGTTTCTATAGTAGGACGACCAGAACTGCACATAGTACAGTATCCCAAATGTCTTGTACAGTTGAAAAAAATTATCCCAACTCCCACACTCAGCATGCTGAAAGCAAACACGCCAAAAGCCTTCTTCACCAGATAAAGGAACAAGGAATTAAAAGCAACAGGACAATTAGCCATCCCTGGGAAGATGCATCAAAGCTAGACAAAGAAACTGACTGGTTACTGGCTGCCTTATGTCACAAGGTTAACTCCAGAAAAACTTCAGCAGTTAATGACAGGAAAGGCTGTGTTTCAAACAGGCAAATTAACATGGAATGGGGCAAGAAACAGAGAAGCTAGAAACAAAAAGAGAAATTGCTGGAAAACCTCAGCAGGCCTGGCAGCACCTGTGTTAACATTTTGGGTTCAGTGACCTTTCCTCAGAGCTGATGGTAGCTACGAAATGGTTTGGTTTATACGCAGAAGGTAGGGGGGTACGAGGAGGTGGTAAGGAGTAAACGATAGGTGGGGATAAGCCCAAAGAGAGACGAGGAGAAGGTTTGGACAGGCAAAGGAGTGGATAACAATCGGGCTGGGAGAATGAATAGCTCTCAGAGGACAAGTAGTGGCAAACAATGGGTTGTGTGTGATAGCAGGCCATGTGATAACAAGAGATAACACAGTGTGGGAGCTGGAGGAACACGGCAGGCCAGGCAGCAACAGACGAGCAGGAAAGCTGATGTTTCAGGTCGGGACCTTTCCTGTTCCTCTGATGCTGCCTGGCCTGCTGTGTTCCTCCAGCTCCACGCTGTGTTATCTCCGACTCTAGCATTGGCAGCTCTTACTATCTCCATGTAATAACAAGGCCTGGTGTGTGGGGGTTGGGATAACGACAAGGGCAAAGCTCCCTCAAGCCCTAAAATTGCTGAACTCAGTACTGAGTCTAGAAGGCTGCAGGGTTCCCAAATGGAAAATAAGACCATCAGGCTTGGGGGCAGAAATTAGGCCATTTGGCCCATCGAGTCTGCTTCGCCATTCAATCATGGCTGATAAATTCCTCAACCCCATTCTCCCGCTTTCTCCCTGTAACCTTTGATCCTCTTGATAATCAAGAACCTGTCTATCCCAGTCTTAAATGTACTCAATGACCTGGCCTCCACAGCCTTCTGTGGCATTGGAGCACTGCAGCAGGCCCGGGGCTGAGATGTTGGCCAGGGAACACAGTGATATGTTGAAATGGCAGGTCACAGGAAACATCGAAACAAAGAAGCTAGGAGCAGGAGGCGACCATTCGGCCCTTCGAGCCTACTCCACCATTCATCACAATCATGGCTGATCGTCCAACTCATTAGCCTAATCCTGCGTTCTCCCCGTAATCTATGATCCCATTCACCCCAAGTACCTCTCGAATACATTCAATGTTTTGGCATCAACTACTTCCTGAGGTAATGAATCCCACAGGCTCTCCACTCTTTGGGTGAAGAAATGTCTCCTCTTCTCCGTCCTAAATGGTCTACCCTGATTGCTCATACTGTGACCCCCTGGTTCTGGACACACCCACCATCGGGAACATCCTTCCTGCATCTACCCTGTCCAGTCCCGTTAGAATTTTGTAAGTCTCTATGAGATCCCCCCATCAGGAAGCTCAGGGTCTTTTCTGTGGACAGAACGTGTGTGTTTCGCCAACTGGTCACCCAGTCTTTGTTTCTCCAGTGTAGAGGAGACCACATTGTGAGCAGCGAATGCAGTGGACAGAGATAACGAGAAGCCGGGTTGACAGCAGCTGACTTTCACTCCTGATAACATAGCAAGCAACGGACTTGGTGACTTCAAAAGTGTCACAAATAACGTCACACCATTAACAAAAACAGAAAATCCTGTAAGGATTCAATGCCAGCGTCCTTGAGCAGCAGAACTCTGGAGAAAAACACTGCACAAGAATCGAACCCTGGACATATCCCGAGACAGGTGCTGCTGCTTGGAATTGTAGCTAAATTCCACCTTTCATCAGGTAACAGCTAAGCTGGGTTGGGAAGCTGAACTCGTTTACTTGAGGGGTTTTATTGCTGCTTGCGATAACGTTTAAATCATTGCCCGAGTATTTGATTGTGAAATGTCTCAAGCAGCTGAAGTAAAGGTCCAGAAACAGAAATTACCCGAAAAGGCCTGGCAGCCACCGTGGAGAGAAATCAGAGTTAACGTTTCAGGTTGAGTGACCCTTCCCCAGAACTGAACTGAAGGTAGTTTGTGGTAACTTACCCACAACAAGGTCACAGAGAGATCGGGAACACCACCCTCTGTGAGTTTCCCTCAGTGCCCCATGCACCATCCTGACTTGGAAATGAATCCTTCAGTGTTACTGGGGACAAATCCTGGAGCTTGGTCCCTAACAGGCAGGACTGCAGCGATTCAAGAAGGCAGCTCACCGCTACCTTCTCGAAGGGAGCCAGAGCTTTCCCACGACAGCCATTCCCAAACAAAAAATTATTTGAAAGGCGGAGAAACAGTGGCCAGGGTATCCACACACACACAAACTAAAGTTCAACGTTAGAAGGCAGTTACAGGGAGTGGCTGGGGCGAATTGGTGAACCTAAGGGAGATAGCCAGAGAAGAACAGGGTGATGGGGGCGTAAGGGAGACGGGAGGAGGCTACTGTAAAGCACTAACACTGACACCGAGCCAAACACAAGAACAAAACTCACTTACCTCAAGAGAGGCACTCTCCTCCTCGGTCTCCAACAGCTCCTGCCTGGACCGTGGTCGGCCACTTCCTGCAGGAGAGGAAGTGGTGCTCTCAGCATCACTCTCCAGGAAGCCCTACAATGGGTCGAGACTGGATATCAGGAAGGTGAGAGGGCAAAGGGACGTCAATTACAACCAACAGCCAGGTTCCCGTACCACACACAGGTAAAAGCAGATGGGGAGGGGGGGATGACTGTGACCCCCTTCCATTATCTGTGTCTTCCCTACATCTCACTTGCTTCTCTCTCTCTCTCTCTCTCCCTCTTTATTGAGTACTTGGCTGTGGTTCCAGTCATTGAGCCCGAGTTTCTGAAACTCCCTCTCCCATCGACCTTTCCCTTCTCCCTCTTCCCTTTCCTGACAGCACCTTCCAAAGCAATGAACACGACCATCTTGAAGGACAGGGGCAGCAGCAGGTACTTGGTAACACCACGCTCTGCGAGTTTCCCACTGAGCCACCCGACTTGGAAATATATCAGTCATTCCTCTCAAATTCCTGGATTGGCGGTGCTAAATTGTCCCCTAGTGCCCAGGGATGTGTGGGTTAGGGTGGATTGCCCATGCTAAATTGTCCCCTAGTGCCCAGGGATGTGTGGGTTAGGGTGGATTGGCCATGCTAAATTGTCCCCTAGTGCCCAGGGATGTGTGGGTTAGGGTGGATTGGCCGTGTTAAATTGTCCCGTAGTGCCCAGGGATGTGTGGGTTACGGTGGATTGGCCGTGCTAAATTGTCCCATAGTGCCCAGGGATGTGCAGGTTAGGGTGGATTGGCCGTGCTAAATTGTCCCGTAGTACCCAGGGATGTGCAGGTTAGGGTGGATTGGCCGTGCTACATTATCCCCTAGTGCCTGGGGATGTGCAGGTTAGCGTGGATTGGCTGTGCTAAATTGCCCCGTAGTGCCCAGGGACGTGCAGGTTAGGGTGGATTAGCCGTGAGAAATGCAGCGTTACAGGGATAGCATTGGGGGGGGGGGTGGTCTGGCTGGGGTGCGCTCGGAGGGTCGGTGCGGACCCGATGGGTCGAATGGCCTGCTCCCCCACTGTAGGGGATTCTATCATCTGTTCAGCTCAACCAGGGTGCTGACACCAGTCTTTCATCATGCTGCTCTCTGGGGGGTTTAGGAGAAAGAGCAGTGATCTCAATGACAGGGTCTGGCAGTGTCCACAGCAAGAAGCTGCTCCCCTCCCCTTGTCAGCTCCTACTGTTGAAAGTGGCAGAGGTCACAGCCCCAGGACATTACAGACTGAGGGTGGTGCGGTTTTCTCTCTCACTCTCTTAGGGGGCCTTGTCATTCTCTCACCCAGAGAGCACTGCATGCTCCGGCAATGAGTATATTCTAGACAGAGATCAAACAAATGTTGGATAATGAGGGAATCGAGATAGTGGGATGAAGTCAGGAAATCAAACACGGTCTTAGCGAAAGGCAGAGCAGATCCTGAGGGGTTGGAATCTACTCCAATTCCTTATGCTGCGCCACTGGGAGAAAACGGTCAGCTGACAGCACCAGTGGAGCAAGGTTCTCTCAACACTGTCCACACCGCGCTCCCAGAATGTTTAGACCGTTTGAGCCTGCAAGCAATCTCTGACTGGGGTGCCTTCGCAAGGCTGTGAGCACCCAGCCAGCATCTGCTGAGGCCCTCACCCAGAGGGAGTGTGATACAGGAGGGAGGGGCGGATCCCACATCAGCTCAGGGTAGTGGGAAGGCTGGGGATTGACCCATGATCCTAAGCACCAAGAGGGAATGACAGAAAGACGGCAGGTATATCGCGCTCCCCCGCGAGAAGGTTTGAAAGGAGAGAGGGTACCTCCTCTGCTGTCTCATCTTCCTCCTCCTCCTCGGGTCTGTACTCTTCATCAGACGAGTCTTCCTCCTCCAGAGGGATGTCAATAAACTGGGGAGCCTGCAACACACAATCCTTATCCAACAATGGGCAGAACAGAATGTAATTATTCAGACCCAGAACCGCATCGCTCCAGCTACTCACTGACCCACAGCTCGATCCTCCAA